TTTTTATCTAGTACTACCTCTGACATTTTTACTGTTTTACAGCTTGTTTCTCCAGTTAACCTGAAACGTCTGAAACTGAACGAGACAAAAAGACACAAACAGGTGAGATGAAAAAGACCAAAACACTGAACAATAACTCTGTTTTCAGTTTATTGCACCACATCACCYCTGCCTGAAAATAAAGCTTTTCTATTGGTTCTCCTGCTGTGAGCACGTCGTACAACAATGACTCAGGTCAGGACAAAATAACAACAAAGAGCTGAAAACATGCAGAAAAGTCCAGTTGGACACCGAGGCACTGAAACATGAAGCTGGACTCCTTCAGCTCTTCTTTTACAATAAAACATTTTCTTTTGTTTTCCTCTGAACGATCAGCTGCATCTTTTATTGTATAAATCAGGAACTCGTTCTTTCATTCATCTCATTTTGCTGCAGGAAATGATTTGTTTTGTTAGTGTTTATACTTAAAGCATTTCTTCAAGGACCCACAGCTCAAACTATGTGTTGGGAATGACTCTCAGCTTCGACCACACAAATATTTAGATCAAAATCAGCTAAATTCAGGGTTTAAATAAATCTGTTTTTGTTTGATTGGTTTGTTTTGACTTCAAATGTTATTTAAATAAAAATCTAATTCTTATTTTGAAAGTTTCCTTAAAATCCATCAACTGCTTCAAGAGGTATTTTGCAAACGAACACACAGAACAGTGATTACATCATTTCCTSTCTTTCATGGCTGAAGCTTTTCCAGCAACACGAGCTGAAACCCTTTGAGTTCTGATGTTTTATTGATGCATTAAGTTGTTCAGAAGTTAAACTTCACGTCACACAAACACACAACCAAACATTTACAACACAAAGAAAGGCAGACGAACAGGTATGATTTGGTCTTCAGGTGGACACATTTATGAAGAGGGCGGAGCCTAAAACTAAACCCTTGAAATGAAAACGAGTTGACTCTGCAGRTTCCATTAAAGTGTTTCCTTCACATCCTGCTTCAGTTTATACTTGTTTACATGCAGGTAATTAGAYAAAACAAATTGTGCTTGTTTTTATAAATAACCTTAAATCTGCTCTCTGTGCATCCTGTTGATCCAAACAGTAGATTTTAGAACTTTACGCAAAAAGAACAAAAAGGCCACCTTCCATGGTTTGTTCGCTGCTAAAGTTGTACAAAAATAAGAACATCTATGAAGATGAAGCTTCAGTCAGTCCAGAGGGTTGAGAAGCCACAAGGATGAGGTTTGTTTAAGTTGTGCAAAGATTTCTCAGCTGCAGAGCTGCTTTACTGAGAACCAATGAGACCAAGTCTCAAATCAGCCTTTTTCTAAATGTTGCTGCTAAAACAGTTCGGAGGCTTTATTTTATTTGGAATCTGCATCATTTCATTTTTGGCTTCTCGTAAAATAAACTACCAACAGCTGCCCCTGACTAATATACAGGCTGTTATTAAACATTTCTTTTGATAGTTTTTTTTAATCAACACTGTAAGAGAAGCCATTTCTGAAACAGCATCACAACTCTGCAGCATTCACAAACTTTACTACCATGCCTCTTTCACAACGGCACAACGATAATCATTTTTCCCCTAAAAATGATGTCAAGACCTCTAACTAGGTCATGAATGGAAAACCATACATTTTAAAAGCCTGGAGCTCCACTCTTTAAAATGTAAAGGACAGTGAGCCGAGTGCAAAGCCCTGTGGAACTCCGGATTTACATTTTATTGACAGTTTTGATGCTAACACGCTGTAAAAACTCAAAATTTAAAATGTTAAAGCTAACATTCTTTCTTTTTAGAGGCATGGCTGCTGCAGACATWTTAGTTTGTTCAAATATGCAAAAATGTTACCTGGGCTACAACCACAGGTATTTTATCTATGAAAGAGTAACGGGCTCAGTAACGCTCCCTGTGGAACTCCAAATTTGCATTTTATGGCCAGAATAAAGTTTTCAATTTGTGTCACAAGAGAAGCCAACAGGAAATGAGTC